ATGGTCTAAGGTCAATGATCTTGATTGGGTTAATTATGCTACTGCCTTTCCTACTAGAGCTACAGCTACTTTTAATTGGAATATGGCATTCCATCGTGGATTAGGTCCTAATGCAATGCCTATTCAATGGTATAAGATATATGCTCATAGACACATATCAAGATGGGCTAGAGACTCTACACAACGACATAGTATATATTATGATGTAGCACAACATGATTGGCAGGCTGATCTTAATAACCCACAATATCCACATCTAGGCTATTGTCGTAGTACAACAACGCCAACAACGCCATCATCATCATCATCATCATCCCACAACAACAACACCAAGAAGCACTACCAGCAACATGATGATGATGATTATGTACAACTGTTACAGCAGTATTTCTGGCCGTCGTCATCATCATCATCAGGTTGATAAGGCTTTGAGTCTTATATTGTCTGTTATAATGTTATTAGCATGTAGTACCACTGTAATACTCAACTACTGCTACTCTTGTGTTTACTATTATACAGGATTTACCAATAGCAGCAGCCCCTGGTGGTGGAATGATGATGATCCCCCTCTTCTCCTCCTCCTCCTGTTTAGGTCTAGCTAGAGGTACTCGTAACTCTGGTTAATAATCTTCCTCTTGCATTCGTATGTCCTCGTACATCCTGGTATATTACTACGACTATTGCTAGATTAGGAATACATTTACGATGATAGTAGTACTATTGAACTAGGGCCTAGGAGGTAGGAGTACTGAAGTAGGGAAGAGGAAGCTTCTCTCACCACATACCCCTCATATCTATCATGTCCCCGATCATCATCATCATCATCATTCGCGGGTGGCTTGATGATCATAGCATGCTACGATAGGCTATAATAGTAAGGATAAGTACGCTTGTATGTTGATAATAATCATTCATCATCAATGTGATGATGATATTAATGGATGTAGTCTCCATCGTGATCATCATCACCAACTGCAGCTGGTTAGGGTCTTATTAAAGTCTCATTCCCTAACCCTAGCTTGTAAGAGGAGTTCCTACATCAGAGTATTGTGGTGGAGGTAAGAACGATATCGGCAGTAGTAGTAGGGATGGTACTGCCTAGTTATAGGTACCTAATTATGGAATCTAGTAGGGTTAACATTATGTACTATGGCTTATTCAGATGGCATTACTATATTGTCATCAAGCTGCTGCTGCTGATATAGGGATGTGAAGGTCAAGGTGGTAGTCTTCTCTTACTACTACTACTACTACTACTAGTGTAATTATTATAGTCTTATCTATAGGCTGTTCTGTTAATAATCGCAGATATTTATATTATGTAACTTTATGATACGCTCCTCAATCCACACAAGGTCCTATATGGTCATTTAATATATGTAGTACTATCTGGACATTAGCATTGGGACCTGCCTCTGACCCCCCTGTGGTATATTTATATTACTCTAAGTTACCGTGGACTTTATAAGATATCTCAATACGTGATGGCCTAGTAGCCCAAGCAACGCGGGTATGATGAGATCCACCATACCAACAAGTTGTGGCAGTATTCATGAATTATCCAATCGGTGGTTATTGGTGGTATTAGAATAGGAAGATAAGAAGAAGAGCAGCAGCATGTGATAATTGAAGGAGGTGTGGTATGATGACTATAGGCACGGCTGCTGCAATGATGATAGTAATACTATGTTGGAGCATGATCTTAACATACTACTTATAATCGAGATTGTTCAGAGGCTTTGATAGGCTGTTGTTACCCTTAAGGTCTGTTATATCCATATTAACATGGACACTACAACATCATCATCATCATCATCATCATCATCATCATCTGCCTCTACTGAGGTTACTTCTTATCATCATCTCTCTTCCTTGTGTGATGATAGTAGTTGTGTTCAAAGGAGCAGGAGAAGGTTGTTCGATTATCCATAAACCAGTTATTGTTATCATGATGTTGTTATTGTTCAACCGTATATTTAATGATGCCCCACTTCACAAGCCTATCAGGCAATGTTATCAACATCATCATCATACCATCATCATGATCATGGTGATACTATTACTACTATTCGTGCTACAAGGTTGTAGCTCACCACGTTCACCTGATTTAATACCACCATCTACCGCTGCTACTGGAGGGGATAATCTACAACCAAGTAAGTGGTAAGGGGAGGGGGATGATGTTGTATCATAGGTAGGAGGGTACCTACTACTACTACTACTACTACTACTACTACCACTACTACTACTACTACTACTACTACTACTACTACTACTACTCCTAGAATGAGGATATCATCAATATCTAGTAGGTACTAATAGGAGGGTCTCTTCCTCTCCCTCTACCACCCTACATCCCCCTTCTAGTAGTAGTACATTAGGTATTACTACTACTGCCACCAACCATATTACAAGAACCTCTCCTCCTCCTAGTAGTAGTAGTAGTGGTGTCATGACTACTTCAGCGCCAGTACCTAGAGGCAGATGCTCTAAGGGGGAGCCTTCTACCACCCATAATGGGTTGGCCATATATGCAGATTGGCCTCATATGGATGTTCTCACCGAGAAGAAGTATATGAATCAATTAGGCACTTTTGTTAATGGTCAGAGTTGTCTCAATTCCCACTTCTCAAGTAATAATAGCATCATATATTCGTATATGAATTCTTCTTCTTCTTATTCTTAGTTGTCCTACTTGATCTTACTCCTACTAAGTTTAGTGATTGGATAGAGGATGGTAGGAACGTGAATGCTCCTGATACCAGTAGCAGTATTGCTCGTGGTAATGACTTCAAGGCAATGTTATCGGCTATTAACACTGCTGGTAGTAAGCTTTCTATTGTGGTTGCTCTTGGGTATGGATACTATAATAGTGTATGTGATGGTAGTGAGAGTATAGATTGTATGTATCATTTCGTTAAGACCTGGGATAAGGTAGTACCAGGATCAATGGATGGAGTAGTTATATCAGGAATAGAGAGCACTACCACTGCTGTATCCTCTGCACCTTTAACTCTGCAGCATTCAAAGGGATCCTATACTCTTGGTCTTACCTTACCTATGGGGACACTTAGCTACTATCAAGAGAAGTACATTTATGATTCCTATTATCTTCTATTAATGGACTTCTGGTGTCCATCAATCACTTCTTATGCTGCTACTAATCCCAATAATGTATTTAAGACACATACAAGTGATTTAGGTCCCTACATGCTCACTACTACCACAGAGTGTTCAGGAGGAGGAGGCGAAGACTCTCCTATACCACAGAAAGATATTATGAGCATAAACAGTAAAACAGTAGTATTATGGTCAACACGACATAGTGGTACATCCTGTCCTTATCCTCTTAATGATGGTACTTGTACTAAGAATGATAGAGCTGAACTTGGTACAGTTGATACATCTATTGATGCTATTAATCTTATACATTATATGAGTACACTATTTACTTCTGCTAAACATGGGTTCTATTATATGAGCCTTATGCCTGATAGTTGGTTCTACTACTACAATTAGTACTACTACTATGATCATCAATGAGGATGATGATAATAATACTAATTATTACTATTCATGTATAATAATATATTCCCTAGGATTCCTTCCTGTTATATTGGCTATACTGCCATTTTTGTTATCCTACCACTGTTATCCACTAAACCTTCCTCATGTTGACTTGTCAATACCTTCATCATCATTTCTAGTTATAATGTTAACTCATGATGTTCATCAACGCCAGTCGAGTATCGAGTTACCACCAGTAGTAGCATTTAACCGCTCAGCTGCCGTTAGAGTATCTCATGGCCACAAGGCCTATGAGGTAGTACAGCGATATACTATATATCCTCTTGGCCAACTATCATACCAGGCAAGTAACTCTACTGAGGATGATAGTAGCAACAGCAGGGGGAGGAGGAGGAGGAGGAGGAAGAGGAAGAGTGTCGTACGTCATCACCCTGGTAGTATTGGGTAT